TGAAGATGTGAATAGAGGGCACGGTACTTGCGGATTGGAGGAAAGGCTACCTATTCAAACTGACAAAGCATGGAGACTTAAGTCAATGCAGGAACTAGCATGGCATCATTCCGCTGTCTATTTCAAGCAAACACTAAGCCGAATCATCCTGGAGAGAATCAGACGCGCCTTGGGTGAAAACTTCGACTGGAACAAGCTGGATTCAGGAGAAACAAGCATGCATTGATCAAATCACCACACTACGGATCATCATTGAACAAGGCTTGGAATGGCAGTCACCTCTCTATCTCAACTTCATCGACTTTGAAAAGGCCTTCGATAGCGCAGCTTCGATCGAGAGGTCATTTGGCAACTACTTCATTACTACGGGGTGCCATAGACAATTATACATCTCATCCAACAGTTATACGACAATGCTGTGTTCCAAGTAATCCACAACGGGAAACTCACGGAATCCTTCGAAGTGAAGACGAGAGTAAGACAAGCTGGCTGCCTACTATATCCAATGATTTTCCTGATTGTGGTAGACTAGATAATGCGACAGACAGCGGTCAACGAAGAGACAGACATAAAATGAACCCACGAAAACACTTGGAGTATCTGGACTTCGCCGATGTCTGATTTCCCATAAACCGGAAGATATGCAAGTGAGAAGCAACAAGTCGTCAGAAGAAGCATCAAATATAGCATTTTAAGTGAACAGAGAGAAAACAGAGGTGATGAAGATTTCTTCTCAACACCAACAGCAACAACAGTAGACAACAATCAACCTAGATTGGAGAAATGTGATAGAAGCAACCTCATTTAGGAATAATAATAATAATAACGGCTTTGTTCCACATAGTACTTTTGGTACAAATATGAAATATTCGGCATGCAGTACTAGACTGGATATCATTTCTTCCTCACATAACATTACTCAGTACGAGGAAAATAATTTTGTGGACACCTTTACTGATACGAATGAAAATCAGACTAAGAATGTCAAATTAAAATTATTGGAAATATGAACAAAAATGTAATAATTAAAGTAAAAGTAATAAGGGCCAACAGCTTAGTGTTCTGCTGTAAGTTATTAGTTTCTTATCTAACACTTTTCCATTCATGCAGATAAATTCCGAATAAGGTAACGTAGAGCTTTTACTTTTAGTCGTCCAAGTAATGAGTCTCCTATGGTTGCTTCTAGTCATATGATGATGAGATGCAAGGAGCAATTTTTGTCAAGAGATGATGATCAGAGTTCGACACGTTCAAGTGTTTATTTACTGTACTAATAACATGTTCCTTCAACTGCACCCCACTCGAATCACCGACAGCACCTAGTGGCTTCGCAGTGCAAAAAATCTTCCATAATTAACCCTAAAATGATTAAGAAAGAGCAATGAAGAAGAATAGGTGGAGTATAAGAGTTCCCATACAGTAAACGTAGACTGTCGCAACCTTCTTATGTAGGGGGTTTAGTGAAATATCTTTTTAGAAATTAACATGTTGTTGGAAGACTAGAGAAGATCAGAAGAAATACACTATCCAAGGCATTCAACTTTCGGCCTAATTTCAACCTCAGTGACATCTGTGTTTCAAGAATCATTAGAAGGAACCATTTCCTTTAAATCACGTTTTTATCTGGAAGTGAAATCAACAATATAATATTAAAAACTTCATGCAATTCTTCCCATTAATAAACTTGAGCAAAGCAATAACAACAATTGTACCGGGAGAATATTAGCTCATCTTTTATTATTTCGAGGATCCTTCTCAACTGGTTACAACTTTTCCACTATTACAAGGAGTAATTGGTAGGAATTAAAAGTAACATTAGTCCGGAGTGATTTAACTGATTAGTTATAGAATAACTAGACAATTAGGCTTGGAAACAAAAAACAGGGCTGCATATATATATATATATGTGTATAGAAACAAGGTTTAACTAGAAAGAGCATAACAAAAAAGTAAATCACGTAACTAAAGAAAGCGTCACCCTTTTGATGTTTAGAAACTCTACTCTCTCATCTAAACATGACTCACCGTACCTTGTTTCTTTTTTTCCCTTTTTTCTATTGGCTATTAGATAAGACGCTTTCTTTGGTTACGTAATCTACTTTTTTGTTATGCTCTTCCTAGTTAAACCTTGTATCTATACATATATATATATATATATGCAGCCCTGCTTTTTGTTTCCAAGACTAATTGTCCAGTTATTCTATAACTAATCAGTTAAATCACTCCGGACTAATGTTACTTTTAATTCCTACCAATTACTCCTTGTAATAGTGGAAAAGTTGTAACCAGTTGAGAAGGATCCTCGAAATAATAAAAGATGAGCTCATATTATCCTGGTACAATTGTTTGTCTTGTTTTATTCAAATCTGACATTAGTTGGGATTTGCTTAAGATCACTTGAGAATGACGACTGACCCATTTTTGCGAATAGCTACTCATTTTGGATCACTCTGATGAGGATATGAAAACCGTCGTGGAAACAATCAGATCGTCGGCATACCTAACGAAATTAGCTTTCATTAGAATGAGGCGATCATGTAAGAAGGGAAAAGCCAGAAAAGTAGAGAGGATGGTGCCTTGAGAAACACTGGCTCCGGTGAGTGAAGCAGACGTAGACTTCCTATTATCAACCCTTTACTGCCTCCTCTCAGATAAATAAGAATGCAACCACTTCTTTATCCAGCAACCTGCTTGTGTCACAGCACGTATGTTTAATAGAAGATGCCTAGGTACAGAGTCAAAGGCAGATATTTGGTGAAGGAGGGAACGTCTGATATATTTAGCACCTCCCTCTGAACTCGAGACAATAGCATGCTGTAAGACGATGGTGGCATCCAAAGTGCGTCCATTGTGTTTGTAAGCATATTGTTCTAGCTGGTTAAAAGCATTCAGTGATAGTTGAAGTCTAGGTGAGACCAATTCAGTCTTTATTTTCAATGATGGTGAAGCAGTAGTGATGGGTACAACAATTGTGGAAAATGATCCATTGAAAATACCAGGGAGAGGATATCATAAAGTATCTGAAATTTTCACAAGGACAATGGCGGTGAAGCCATCTGGATCTATGGTTTAGGTAGGTTTCAGGGACTGCAGACATTTGAGAACACAGTCTGTATTAAGTCGGAGAAGCAGTCATTCTTTTATCCGCAGCTTCAGAAATCACATAATCTGCTGGATAGCATATGAAAGACTTATTAAGCGTATCAGTATCAAGGTTTATTTGCTTTCCAGCAGTAATTTCCATGAAGCTTTTCCACATGTCTCAGGGATTCGACACGATAAGAACTTTTTTATTATAGGCCTTTTTACACCAGGATTATGGTTCATTTTCCATAGTCTTTCTTTTTCTCGACGAATCTGTTTTAGCTAAGAAGAAACAAAAGCGGTTAAATGTTAAGAACAGTATTTGTTTTGTGCAGCGAACCTCAGGCGAGAATTCGAGATGACAAGTTGTATTTGTGAGTCCCATTCTGCATTTTTTAACATGTTTCTGAGATTCTGTATTTTTTCCTGAGTGTAACTCCTACGATCAGTTTCCTGGCCGAGATGCGAAAAGGTGCTTTGTGTAGTTTTCTACATATTTTCGGTAACATTCCTATCATACAAGGGTCCGTATTCACTAGTGGGTCTCTCTTATGAGCTTCATATTTGCCGAAATCACTTGTAGACACAAAACGAAGAGTATCTTATGCTCGAGTGTAAATGTTGTACTTATATGTGTTTCGGTGGAGATTTAACGGTAACGGAATCGGTTTTGTCACTTGAAGTTCTAAAAGATGTATCCATGGAAGTAGACTATTTGGAATTGATGAAGGCTGCAAAGCCACTACCTCATTACATCTTAGATCTAAACTGATCTTTTCTAAGTAATCTGAAATCACCTGGACAGACAAAATGATCAGCATATTGAACACATTTTTAGGTTTCTTGAAGATTTATAATCCCTGTACTGCAGTGTGCATTGGAGGACACGAGAGATTGTAGACAGTATATTTTACAGGACTTTCATCATGAACTGACATTGGTTAGAGAACCATTGGAAAACCTGGGAGTACTGGACAGCTGTTTCGTCCTAGTTTGGGACTCTCCAGCAGTACGCACCCACTGGGATTCGAACCCAGGACCTTCCGGTTACAAGGCGAGGTCATATGCTGTTAAGCCACTGGGACCCGTTCCAATGGCCCACGAATTCTAATTTCTGCTAATTCACGACATAGCGCGACCCCAGTCAATGTCTTCGGCGAGTATTTGTCCTCACACACGAACTACTGCACCGTACTGGTTTGACACGAAGTGATAGTTTGTACTCATAATTTCAGGAACAGTCATTTGCTGCCCAGAATAAGCATTTCCTTTGGCTTAATGGGAATTCGTAAATCCGAAGTTTTTGAACATTTTACTTTTTTATGGATTCACTACGTTTCCATGTTTCAGGAATTGCTTTCAAATGTGTGAAGCATATTTATATACTACATATATTTCTGGCAGCTGTGTTTGACAGCTGGTTTATTTTCATAACGGGAAAATATAATACATGTGTGTAAATTTTATGTTAACTGCTGATGACATTTAAACTTCTTCAGCCACCTAAATCAACAAACGAAACGGTGAATACACAACTAAATACAGCTTTCAAGAAAATGAACTTAATCTGCATTAGAAAGCGACAAAAAAGCAGGACTAAGTCGAACTCCGTGTACATCCTCTATCTCTCTATTTCAAAGCAAATAAGGTCAGATGATATGACTACTATTTGCAGAACGTGTGTGTCTGTGTATAAACATGTAATTCTTCAGTAGTATTCATAACTAATCCTACGGCGATTGGTTGATTTGGAAAGTTGTGTGTCTGTATGACACTCAGACAAATTGATGGTTAGTTACATGTCGTTCAAAATGGTTAGATAAAAGATAGGTAGTCAATTCAAAGAACCAATTTCATAAACTCCACTTTCTGACTTCAATTTAGAATCTGAGTGATGCTTTGTTGTCGGATGAAAAATGTCAGTTAATTCATTGCCAAATTGTGAATCAAGTAATCATTCATACAGCAAACGGGAAATAAGAGTTTTATGTATATTAATTGCGACTCTAATACCATTCTATACAGCCGTGGAAATATCTACATTTATATGTGATCAGTATACATTTTACAGGTAAATTTAAATAGTTTAGTGATATTATCCAAAACTTTGGCTTTTTGGCATATATTTGTGCATAATGAACATTAAATATACTGCATGTATTTAGATAACAAAGTTACTCACTTTATAATTCATATATGTTGCGCTTACAAAACCGCTTGTTATTAATTATTGTCTTTTGATAGATTTGCAACATCACATAACAAAACTACATTTTTATCACGCTGCAGTGATCAGTTCAAGCATAGGGTTCTTTGTGTGGTGTTTCTAGAAGATAACAGTCTCAGTGAGTTGCATTTTATCACATTAGAAAACACCCATAAAACAGAACTGTTTCACGTAGTATACCTTACAGAAATCTACTTATTTTCAGGACTCGTTTTTTCTACACAGTGAAACTATATCGAGTTTAACAATGAAACACTTTTGAATAAAAATCAATAACTGCATACCTAATTCCTTTACTGAATCGGAATTTGTAGTGGTTTATTTTCCAACTTGAAGTGATTTTGTTAAAATGTTTGGTTTCATGTTAAAATTGGCACTGCTGTATTTTGTTAGTTTGATCAATTGATAACTTACTTCAAGCACCTTTTTAAATTGCTTTGCAGTTTCCTAACTGAACGTGGATTGCCATATGGATATGAACTACCCATCGATACAAATAAGTAAGTTTCTTACTAAATGAATGTTCTATGTTTTTTCAATGTAATTGAGACATAAATTCTATGCATTTCTGTGCATTATTAAAGGTGTTTTCGAATATTCTTTAATGTTCAACACTTAACTCTGCAGTATGAAAAAGTTCATCAGATTTACTAGAATAAGTTCTTATTCTCCTGAAATAAATATGAAATCAGAGTATTACAAAAAAGGCTTGCATAACTAAACTTTGTAACTTCCATACAATTTGTGGGGGAATGGGCTGTGAAGACATGATAAGGAATGAAATAATTGATTAAACTGTAAAGGATACACTTAGGAATAAAACTACTAAAAGATAAATGCTATGAGCGGTGAAAAGTGTTAGATGTTCCATGTTTAAAGACGGTAAGAGGATTGAACAAACAATACAATGTATCTTCGATGCAAGAATAAAAATTGTGCACTGTGGTAGAGTGTAATTCCATTATGCGTAAATTTTGTTTTGATAAAGTCTCACAGTGTTATACAGTAATGTTTACTGATGACCATGTTTCGAGCACAATTTATTACAGCTCATAATCATATCAAGGTAATCACACGACTTCCTAAATTCATTTATATAGTTCCATTGTTTTTCTCTTGATTTTCACTTGATTTGATTGGTAATAGTATTTTCCATATTTCAGGTATGAGTGACGAGTCATTCCTATTGCATGTGTTGGGTGTAGACTCGATGAACAAGGATTCAGTAATCAACCTCTCTCTCCACCCACCTAGATTACTTTTTAGAATTTTAACCCTCTCCCACCCTATTGTGTGGTTGTGTGTTAGCGCATGCATTGCAATTGCTGAGCTTTTTTCTAAATTACTTATCTTCTCGGGGTCAACCATTCTTACCTTAGCTAAATTCTTATGCTCTGACAATCTGACTACCGCTGACCTACTAGTTTGACCTATGTAATTGACCTCACAGTCATTGCATGGTATTTTGTAAATAATATTATTTTCTCTAATTGGGTCAACTGGGTCCTTTAATCCAAAGAGCTTGATACATATGGTCTTCCTACTAGGAAGCTTATCAACAAACTCACACGACTTAGTCAAACTGAAGCAAGATTTATAAATCATCGGATTTGTCTAAGTGTCTCAATGTCTAAGTGAAGAACTACATCGAGTTACTGTAAAACTAAATAATATACGAAATCAAATTGAAAAACTCAAACACAAACTCAAATGTATGATCAATGACAAAGATTATATAATTGTTGTTGAAACATCCAACAAAGCTAGAGAATCCGCATTAAGAAAATCAAAAATCACGCAAATCAAAAAATTCAACAAACTAATAGAAGAAAAGAACACAACAAATGAAACTGATATCAATGCTTCATCCTCTATCGACAGAACAAAGTGGGTGATCAACCTCTCATCAAGGGAACTAAACTCTAATGAGATAAAAGTACTTGAAAAAGGACTAAATTTCAACGTAACAGTTAATAAATTAAAACCAGAGGACGTCATTCCTAACATAGAAGCAGCACTAAACTCAATAGATAAGACTACAGCAGAAGAGGTTCGAGCACAATGTGCATTAACCCTAAAAAATCAAAAGAAAACAAAATCAAACTTAACAAAATCGGAAAGGGAAGCTTTAATTAGTCTTAAACAGGATAAAAACATTGTCATCGCAAAAGCTGACAAAGGAAACGCCACCGTAGTTTTGGATAAATCTGACTACATCAAAAAAGTTACTGAACATATTCAAACGGGTCCATATGAGGAAATTAAGAAGCCTGTAGATACAATAATGAATAAGGTTAAGAAATCTACAGCGGAACTAATACGCAGAATGAAGCCATCACTGGGTGAGTCTAAATGGTTTAATTTAATGCCTAAAACTAATAATGCTAGTAGAATATATGGTACTATAAAAATACATAAGCCAGGTTACCCCATAAGACCAATAGTAGATTTTAGAAATACCCCCACGTATGAATTATCAAAACACTTAGCTCTAATACTATGCCCCATTAGAAATCGTTCAAACTCTAGATTAACTAATTCATATGAGATGAAAAATAAACTAAATGACATTCAACTAGCGAATGATGAAACAATGGTTAGTTTTGATATAACTAGTCTTTATACTAATATACCAGTTAATATGGCCTTAGAAGCAGTTAAAAAAGAATTAACTGCGGATCCGGAACTCAGTCATAGGACAAAGCTGTCCATTGAAGAAATTATTTTAGGGATTCAGTTATGCCTCACATCTACTATCTTTAAGTTCCAAGGCAAAATATATAGACAAACAGAAGGTGTAGCAATGGGATCACCAATATCCCCTATCGTAGCAGACATATTTATGGACAGCTGGGAAAATAGTGCCCTCAATACATTTAACCCTACTCCGAAAATATGGTGGAGATATGTGGATGACACTTTCACAGTGTTAAAAACAGAACACATCTCTAGCTTCTTGACACACATAAACTCACAAGTTGAGGGAATAAAATTCACATTTGAATCAGAAAATGAACAAGGAGAATTAGCTATGTTAGATTGTAAGATAAAAAGAATAGAAGAAGGCAAACTACACACTAGTGTTTATAGAAAACCAACGCATTCTAATAGATATTTAGACTTTAATTCGTCTCATCCTTTAACTGTTAAGGCAGGCTTAGTTAAATGTTTAACAAACCGAGCAGTGGCACTAAGTAGCACAAAAAAAGATCTAAATGATGAATTAAAACAGATAGAAGAAGCGTTGGTGTTGAATAACTATCCTATAAAATTCATTAGGAAGATCATTAAAGGCCAAAAACAAAATAAAAATAATTGTGAAACTAGTAATAATAACATAAATAAGAAAGAATATAAGTCATCCACAGTTATACCATATAAAGAGGGGACATCTGAGACACTACGTAGGATTCTGAATAAAATAGGAATTAGGGTGGCATTTAAACCTACAAACTCACTCAGGGACAAGCTCTGTAGGTTAAAGGACCCAGTTGACCCAATTAGACAAAATAATATTATTTACAAAATACCATGCAATGACTGTGAGGTCAACTACATAGGTCAAACTAGTAGGTCAGGGGTAGTCAGATTGTCAGAGCATAAGAATTTAGCTAAGGTAAGAATGGTTGACCCCGAGAAGATAAGTAATTTAGAAAAAAGCTCAGCAATTGCAATGCATGCGCTAACACACAACCACACAATAGGGTGGGAGAGGGTTAAAATTCTAAAAAGTAATCTAGGTAGGTGGAGAGAGAGGTTGATTACTGAATCCTTGTTCATCGAGTCTACACCCAACACATGCAATAGGAATGACTCGTCACTCATACCTGAAATATGGAAAATACTATTACCAATCAAATCAAGTGAAAATCAAGAGAAAAACAATGGAACTATATAAATGAATTTAGGAAGTCGTGTGATTACCTTGATATGATTATGAGCAATAAATTGTGCTCGAAACGTCATCAGTAAACATTACTGTATAACACTGTGAGACTTTATCAAAACAAAATTTATTCATAATGGAAACAATACAATGGCAAATAAACAACAGATCGCCATGACAGTGCAAAGTTGACCGGAAAATCCTTCTTCGTAAAGAAATTAGACGTTATTCGTTAGGTCGATCTTACTTCTGCATATCGTATTATCCTACTATTAACCTGTCTATTAACCACCTGTGGAGTCGCGTGACATGACCTGTATGTCTACCAATAGTCCCGTTAGGTAGTCTTAAACTGACAGTGTTTTTAACAGATGTTCAGAAATTTCTCTGCAGGGACCCTCTCGGTTATTCTTACACAAAATGCCACTGCACGTACAGCTTCCCTAATTATACTGTTTGCTTTGCCGATTAATACAACTTCCAGTTTTTATCATAAATGCACTGAAAAGTTTCCATTATTACTGCAAAGTAAAATATTTCTTTAAATTTAGAGTTCAATCCTTTAGTGTGGCTTCTATGCAACACGCTCTTTCCATTAGGGACAGTATATCTAAGATACAACTTATGTAGACAATCGCCATGTTTCGGATAAGTGAAAATTATCCTTCAGCAACGAAGAGAGTCACTTTTTTCAATATACTCTTGTGAAATATTGGGACTCTTTTCTTGGAATATATGATAATTAATACGAAATAGCGCTTGTTGTGTGGAAGGTTGGTATTCTTCACTGATACTAGGTAACCAATGAGTCAATTTCATTTCCTTATGTATATCTGAGGTTTCCTTCAGACTTTTAGCTATAGTTTGTTTTGTCCTGTGCCACTAAACTTGAGTATAGTGAAAAAAGTCAGAATGTAACTGTAGAATTATACTGCACACATGGAGAGTAAATGAATCGCTCCTTCTTTCTCTGCAAGATTTTATCTTGCATTAATTACGGGTTTGTTTAGTTTTAGCATAATCTCAGTCATAATATCACGCAGAATTTCAACCTCTTCTAATATACGGCCGATTCGATCATTATTTGAAATCAGGTTTTTTCTGTTATTTTGCGTAACTCATCGACATAAAGTCACTCGTTTAAATGATTACTGGTAGTCAGAGCCAGGACGAGTATTTTGTTCTGTTTCGAACTCGTTATATGAATATGTCCGTGTGTCGATGAGCTTAGTGCTCAGCGTTTCGGGTCTCACTAGGTTAGCCACCCAAACCTTATTCAGATAAGTGTTGTATAAAAAATTAGGGTGAATAAAGAAAAAAGACTGCTAATAGATGAATATTTTCTAAAAACTGTAATGTGCGCAATACACACGTCTAGTTATCAAGCCAACTTGAATGAAAAAGAATAAAACAAATGAAACATCTGTTGAAACAAACGTAACCATAATCTTAAGAGTAGGATGAGTATATAAGATATGAGATTATATGAAATAAACTTGGACGCTGTGGTAGTACGTAATTCCATATTAATATATTTGCTGGTTATATCATACATTGTGTGTTATATAATTGCAGATAAAATTTCAAATCGAATTCTCAACATTCCTCACATAGACATCAGCTAGTGACTGTCTAACTTAACACTTATCTAAGGTATTCACTTCTTTTGTAACAAAATAACAGGTCTTGTTTGCCTGAATCAGCCGTCATATCATAGACTATGGAGTTTTCTAATTTCGCGTTCATGAGAATCTGGTTGATTTCAGTATGGATTTCGTCACAAGATGGAGGTAATGCCACTGATCTTTCTATCGTCTGTGTATTGTCTGTGAATGCTGACTTCTGACAGTTTCATATATAGTCTCAACACCACCTAATGTCTTGGCTTATTATGCCTTCTCGTACTCTATATGTTGTAACAAACCGACGACAATTTTTAACTGGAACACCAGGAAGAAATGAAATAAATTGCTAGGGTTCTGACCAATTAATGAGATGGCAATGGACTCACTTTTCAAATTAGACGTCGTCAGTTTGATTAATAAGGAGTTTATTAGTGCATACTTCTTGAACGTCCCGTATTGGGACTGAAAATATGTTCAAAGTACCCAGGTTTCTAGTGATTCTAGAAATGATGTAAGTTTGTTTTGTTTATTTTGATTACAGTTTGATTCCACACTGCATTTTTGGTAAAATATGAAATTTTCAGCATGTGATATCGGTAGCCCAAATTTTGCAAGCCAACCATAGGTATCATGTGTGCGTGGGCAGGAGATCGAACCTTGGGCCATGTTCATGGTCGGCGAGAGTCCTTACCACTGTGCCACCGACGCACAGTTTGTGACAAAACCAATACTGAAACCAGGGTACTGTTATGTGCTAATGAATTTTCTGTAAATCAACCAATATTAGATTACTGAACCATGTGACATGAACATGTACTCCAACGAGTACAAAACATAGGCCAACAACATGCTATTAATTCGCTCCTAGCACATAATGCATATTATTTTGGTCATATCTTCTGAATGATAATATATTTTGAGGAAATATTTAAATAATTTAAAAGACAGAATACTGCGTAAATTATTCACATAGTTTACTTGGTTTAACTTCAGCACTTTGATTGATGGACTTCTTAATTGTTGGTACTTTGTGAATCCTGATTTTTTGCCTTGCACCTGTTTATTAATAAATACACCACTTTTGTTCTTATTTAATTAAGTTTTTCCGACAATGGCTAATTATCTCCTTAGTATGGTGTGTGTCCTTGTGCGCTGAGTTTTCTGTAGCATTTTGATTGGTTTTCCGGGTTAGGGTCGCCATCCTCATGCCCATTCCCCCGTCTTTTCCGTGCTTGGGACCGATTAGAAAACCAGCGGCACAGTGAACTAGGTGATAACAAATATACAGGAGAAAACCGAGATGGCTTGGGCACACTCTGAGGAGCCCACCGAATGACATCGCGCGCCAAGCTATCGCTACATTGGGACCTGAATGGAGAATGACAAGTGGGTCATCTGAGGATAACATGGAGGAAATCGTACCTGGAGGAGATGAGACATTGTGGGCAATCGTGGGCCCAGCTACAGAAGACAGCAGAAAATAAAACAAACCGGAGATATGCCGTTGTAGACCTATGTTTCACTCGACACCCAACAAAATAATAATAATATGGCGTGTTTTCAATGAACTATATATTTACAAAGACAGTTAATGATAAAGTTTTTGGAAATTATGGTCAAGTAAATACGAGCAAACTGGAAGTGTTTGTGCTGAAAACACAGCACTTACTTTTTCCCACTACACAAGTGAAATTCCAGAATTTTCATCATAAGAGTTATTTTTTTTATCCTGAAACTTATTCATGTTATATCTGTTTCATGAGGTCTGTTAACGAAGAAATCAAACTGAAAAGACAGGAAGCTCAAAGTCAAACATCTATAGTTCAGTCATCGAATAACTTTGCTGCTGTTGCACCTGGTCTAGTATCCACTTTATTGGTTGGCTATTTGTCAGATCGCTTTGGACGTAAAGTTGCACTGGGTATTATCATTGCTGGTGAAGCAGCGCAGTTGGTAGCTGTTGGTATGTCTATTATTGTTCTATGGACAATATTTAAAAACCATCGAAAAATATCTACAGCTATTCGCCTAGTGATAAATGTACATTTTATAAATTTATAGCTACTAGAGAATCGACTTTTTAGAATGAAAGTACTCATGGAAATATAATGAAAAAGTAATAGGAAAGCATAGATATCCCATGAAATAAATACATTTCCTCTCAATATTATTGCACAGAGAGAATTCAGGCAATGTTTAGAATGTGCTTCTATATTAGACAAGTTGTTCTGAAATAAAACATAATAATACAAATCAATATTAGTATGCGGGAAGTTTGACAAATCAAACATAAAATCATAATGAAATTATCTGTAATAAGCGCGAATGGTAGTTTATTTCAACATCTTTTAAGTAGAACTTTCTGAAACATATGATCACACAAATATTTACATTTCTTTAGAACCGAGACGTATAGGTCATTAAATCATTGTGCTGAAAAGTGGTCTCATTTCAGATTACGAGATACTAGAAAACCTTAGAATAAGAATAATACCAAGTGAAAAAGAAGGTGAGAAACAAGAGGAGGAAGATGAATGATTATTTTACGGCATTTTGAAGTGTAAGAGTCGTAAAATGATATCCTTATATCATTCTTACTAGCCTTAAACAACGAATTGCCAATGTTCAACGAGTGTTTTCTATGGTACTGAGAAACACTAACATTTCTTAAAATCAAGTTGCGTATTATGGCAGATACACTTCATCTCAGTTTACTCTCGTTTAGCAGTATGTATATAACATAGTCAAGCTTTCGCCATTGATGTGACCTCATAATATCAATGTTGTTTTAAATCTCTTTATATAATGCTTGAATTCCAATAAATTAAATCAAATTTACAACTTCCGTAGTATAACCCAGTTTTGATTTAAATTCCTATGTAAGACTGAGGATCTGAAACCTTGAATCTCCATGTTCCAGTGATTTCATCTCTTTCCCGAAGACTTGTCGTCAGTTTAGAGATAAGATTAAGCCATTTTTTTCACAGAGAAGCGTATTTATTATCGCTTTGGTAAATGTTTTTAGGAGACATTATTGATGGCCTGAACGGCAAGGTGGGATGAAATCTGGCCTTTGTTCCAAAATCACTTTTGAACAGAAATTCTGTTTGTTGCTACCTAAACGTAAAATGCAGACGATTACTATTCTTATTAAGATTCAAATCATATCCGTTCGCTTTTCAATCATAGAAATTCTTCTGTTGAATAAACCTTTCATTTCTGTTACTACATATTTTTCTGATGTGTACTCACTGAAATGGCGTTATTTTCTTTATTTCCTAATGTGTTGTGGAGGCATGCCTAGTTGTAGCCTGTCATCCGTCGTTCAACTGATTAATTGCCCAATTTCTTTTAAAACTTCGAGCTGAAATATTTATGAACAATAGTAAAATCTGTGTAACATTTGTTGATCTTACTGTGATACTTTTGGGAATTCCTCAGATATTTGGAAATTCTACTGTCATTAAAGTTAAAGTTGTTATCACATTCAATAAGTCCATAGTAGAATGAATGATTTTCATGTCATGGTTTTTACTGTTTAATTACAAAGTATGATTATTCGATGGAATTATGACCTCATCGACTTTACTGATTACTCCTAAATGCCCGTTTATTACTGCGACCTTGCTTTCATTTTTCTGGTTTTCAACTGATTCTTTTCAAACTTTTTCATGTTACTTTAAAAGAACGTGCTCTAAGATATGTTTCAAAGGGTCTTTGATTTCCTGTCTGAAACTGAGAGTTCTCTAGACACATTTGTGTACACATTTTCTTTCAGTTAAAGAGGGAGTGTCTTCTGAGTGTTTTTGAGGCTTATTTCGTGCTGTTTTTCTCCAGTAATTCTTCATATAAACATTGGCAGTCAAAAACAGTGTCAAAACGACCAGGCTAGATAATCAGAAAACTGGTAGGAATTTGCATGTCAACTGGTCGTCAGGATTTAGAATACGAGCTTTGTTATCTGATCAAGATAGCTGGCTTTTATCAGGTTTATTTTTTATCTTATGACACATCGGGTGCACTTTTGGTAATTTGGTATCTTCTAATACAACAGTTGTGAAGAACAGTCAGATAACGATCTAAGAAAACCAGTTAATTACAAACTACTTAACGATTTTTTCTACCAAATACTAAACATCTAAACAAATGAAGTTGTAATTAGTTTACAGATGCCTTTCGTGCCATTTTCGACACATTGGTAAAATGTTTCCTATTCAACGAACTATATTGCAATTATATTGCATGCATAAATATCAATTAGGAGGTCAAGTTGAAGTGTTGTGCTGGCACAGATAACAAAGAACTAACGAATTGTTCGAACAACTGTAAACTACCCCCAGAACGTTTTGTTTCTCATGTAATTTCAGATTACACCGATTTTACGATTTTAATTTTTCTTGTGCTGGGACTGCTACACATTCGGATCATTAAAAAAATGAAGGCCAATACTTTAAAGTTAAATAATTTGAGTAATATTGAAGCATATTGCTAAAATACACTAGTGTGAATGAGCCTTACTGGGATACAAGTAAAATAATATTGCGATAGGCCATATAATAGTCTGCAACCATGATGATGCGATTTTATGTATTCACTTTGGAGGCCTGCTGCCTGGGTATGACTAGCAAACAACTTTTACTGCCTCAGACTAACCAAGTTTGTTCCCTGGAACCTGTGGATTAAGGTGTGTGCTTTAACATCACTCAAATAATTCTACTTCTCACTTAACTCATTATTGCTCCAGTATTCCCGCTTACTTCACTTTTCGTGGGATATCTAAACAACTGCTTTCTTTTCAGCTGTTGTCGTATTCTGCCGTCTTACTCCATGGGCTTTGGTTATTTCGAATGTGATTGAAGGTTTTATTGGTGGTGGTCTCTTATCAGCTATTGCTCAGTTTTCTGTCTGCATTGCCGATTTGACAAAGTGTGACCAAGATCAAAATTATGATTTTGCAAAGAAAGCCGTTTATGATCGTCGGAGATGGTTATTCCTTACAATTGTCGATGGTTTAGCTTGCTTAAGTCTAGCAGCTGCTGTATGATCGCTGGTAAGCAAAATACAATTTATTTGTATAATCTAGGTTTCAAGTGAATTTATTATGCATTTGTAAAGTAATCGCAAATTATTTTCATGGATTAAATTCGACATTGGCAAATAACACATTTTCAGCCAAAACATCACCCCATATTTGTTTGGAAACCAAAATTATTCAGATCACAGTGTAAGTAATCTTCTTGATACCAAATGTGGTTATCAAAAAAACAACTAGCAAAGTGTATGATCTTAGAATCTGCTGATTTAGCTGAATCACTTCAAATCACACATACTCTTATTTGCGTCATGAAATTCCAACAATTTTTATAACTAATCTTTTGAAATTTGCTTCGGTGAGGCGCAAGTGTCTTCACTTAGAAATACGCTTTCGTAAATTACTGGTTTATGACTTGAAATTTACAGGAAAGTTACATAGACTTCTTAGTGTTCATTTGTTCGAAAGTCCTATTTTGCATGTTCAGCTTGATATAGTAGTGTGTGAATCCTGACATATTAAACTTGGAAATAAGTAAAAGACAAAATATAATAAAAACACTTTTCTTACCATACTGATAACATATGACATTATGCCTATCTTTTGCATTTCCATAGCAGCGGATAAGAGTGAACTAGACTTATGAAGGACTATCCTCATACAACATTCAACTAGTATTTCTCAGGCTATGAACAGCAACAGAATGGAATCTAATCAACTATTGCTCTGGTGAAACAATCTAATGTTTCATTCTGAAATTAAAGCCTTTTAGGTTCTAGTTGGCACTAAGTTTCCCTGAATGTTTAAGAACTCCAACGTAAAAAAGCGTTGTTTTTTATGTGTGCAAACTATCTTTGCGCAGGTGATTACAGTTCATTTTGCATCATTGCTGATACAATAGATTATAGTAACATTTAGGAGATAACTAATTGGGTTGACAAATATTTACTTTCCAGGTAAATCCTTACCGCTGTCCTACTTTAACATAAATATATATATACGTCCTTTTTAATGCAATGCTAAATATACCAATCTCAACAATAAAAGCAGCAACATCCAGCGCCAATCACCATCAATGGGAGGGATTTGAAAGAGGTTACTTCATTCACTTATTTACGCAGGGAGCATTCTCTCAACTACAGGCAGTCGGAACGGACGAGGATGTCAAATCGAGCGAGAATCGGGAAGGCCAGCGAGAAACACATTCATCAACTGACTGAAACCAATCTGGAAATCTTCATCACTCAGCCAGTATCAACAACAAAATCCAGTCGGATTTTCAATACAAACATCAAGTCAGTCAGTCAGTTCTTCTATACGGATCGGATCAGAAACTTGGCGGGTGGGTCACAAAGAATATTTCCACCAACAGCCTGTCGCAGACCTTCATCAACAACTAACTGTCTTCGCTGGCTCTATACTGAAGATCAGATGGCTGGGCCGGAAAGAATCACCAACTAGGGGAAACTATGCGAACAAACAAAGCAAGAACCAATCGCCAACCAACAAATATGTAGGAGAAAGTGGAGATGGATTGAACACTCGCTGAGGCTGGAGGCCGCTGGGTGACATAGCGCGCGCGTGAGGCCATTCCCCGAGTGGAACCCGAAAGGGAAGCACGTGGCGGTGTGACGTCAGTTCAAGGGTGACATGGAGGAGATCGTGTGAAGAGGAGTTGAAACAGTATGGACTAACATGGATGAAGGTGAAAAGTACGGCGGAAGACAGACGCAAGTGGAGACGTGCAGTTGAAGTCCTATGTTCTACTAGGAACCCAAGGGAACAATAATAATAAATATACCAATCTAGTGGTGACAAGTTTTTCTAATAATAATTAGTCAGTATCAACAGCCAAGTTATGCTCATAAACCACCCCACTGCTTAAGTCATCAAGAAATTAAAGCATTAAAACTAAGAGGTTACATTCTGTACGGTCATTCATACAAGGATAAATTAAAATTTCAGTAATTTTGAGTTGGTTATTGGTCTGATTCTGAGACGATCACTGATTCACAGAGAGCTGTGTTTTAAAAGCAGAATCTCCGGTAAATTCGTCTTCTACTTGCAACTAGTTTCTGTCAGTAAAAATTATTTGAAGTTGAAAATAGTTACTGGATTATTTGAATCATCCAGGTTTTGATATTTACTTAGCTTTTTGTTAAAAATTTAAATTGCTTTTTTGCTTGTGAAGGTCCTCTTATTTACAATTATGGCTTTGAAACCACTATGGCTGTTTGTATCATAGTCTATATCCCAGTTGTTCTGCTGATATGTATTTTGCCTGAAACAAATAGTAAACTACAACCAAGTTACCTTTGCATTACTGATACAAGTAATACATCAATGAAAACAGAAAAACGCAAGGAAACTGAGACGTCAAGCTGCTGTGACAAATTTCAGTGGAAAATTAAACAAATACTCAGGGTAAATCAGATATTACTACCTTTATTGTTTTTTTAATAACTACAGCGTCAATATCAGTTGTCTGTGTTCATCTTTTGTTTTCATAAAGATTACCCTTAAATCCATGTCGAATGATTACTAAACGAAATACATTTTTTCGGCTATTTAGTACCATCAGTGTAACATATACCACCTTTTATAACCCCTAGATTCTCGTTATACGATGAGGTTTTGTTAAGTTCATACATTAATTTCCCTTAATTAATTTGAATAAGGCAAGAACAACAGTTTTTGAAAAATGAAATGGTACCATCATATATTTCTTTGGCTTCTCATCAGCTGCTTACAGGCAAAAGACATTATTAAATATATCTACAGAAACAATACTAAAATATTTATAAAGTTATATTTGTAAAATCTCAGCGAAATTGAAATGAGATTTTACAAATATAACTTTATAAATGTCTACTTCTCACTCAGCGCTCAATTATTTTGCAACTATCCGGTCAAATCTTGTTCACAGTTCGTATGAATATTAAAATACTTGCACAGAGTTCATTTTTAAACAAAAACCAATCAATATGTGCATACAGTAATTATATATATATATATATATATAATATTCGACACTATTCCGAACAATAATAATCAGACACAATGGAAACTTTTGGCATTACGCAATCGGATGAAAAGGGTGAGAATATCCAGTTACCAGGGCAAAAAAAGACTGATAACTGTTTCTTTCTGAACGCATAAATTAGGTTTCAGGCGCTTGATGGAGATGGCTTCAGCAAACTTGAGGAGAATTGGCTCTTTTGACTACTGATAATTTTGAACGACTTTTCAACGTCCACCTCATAACCCTTGTCAAGGAGATGCCTGACAATGGCACTGTTTAAAGCTTTTGTTCCTTTTGGATGTAAGCTTTTTCGTACGTGTTCAGAAAATCATAGATATGCCCTTCTTTCTGTCCTTCCAATGTAACTGCTCCCACATGTTTGTAAATTTGTATATACAGTTGGAGTTAACATGAGAAGGGTACCTATCGATTTTTGATTGCATCAAAGGGCAAGTTGTTCGATCGACGAGAAACAAATTAGCTGCGGGACAGGTCCTGCCCAGTGATCTCCTCAATCTTCTGTTGACAATCGCTGCAATATTTTCACCTTTATAATCACGTTAAATGTAGATGGGCGTTTTTGCCGCTATGATATGCTTAACATTCCGTACTTGTTAGTGAACCTTTAAGGGTAATCGTTGCTTTTCAACACCTTTTCGAGAAAAATAAATTCTTCCTCTAATTTCTTTGTAGAACATATTCTCCCAGCTCTATAGTACAGAGTCTTGACTAGTCCACGTTTAAAACTATTTGGACAAAGACTATTATCTTATCCAAGTAGGCTTTCGTTAAATTAACTTCTGGAGACTAAAGTCCTCTAGGCGTTTCATGGCTATGTAGAGGAAGTCATGACTGTCACTTACTGAATTATTCGATGACGCGCATACCAGTATTGAATTTAATATGAAAGTGATGGAAAGTTCCACTTCCTTGACATAGCTATGAAACGCCTAGAAGACTTTAGTCTTCAGAAGTCAATTTAACGAAGGCTTACTTAGATAGAACAATACTTACATTTTAATGGTTTTTGTCTAAATAGCTTTAAACGTGGACTAGTCTGTTGGGTATTACCTTCACTTTCTATGTGTTCAATATTTGAGGTTCTTACAATTTAGAATCATTGATGATTAGGGTCTTTCTCAACATATGACTTATGATATTTTACTGGTCTTAATTTATTATTGGAATAATCCACTTAACAAAGTTCAGTTCTCAATCTTCTGAACAAGTGTCTGTAAAAAGATCGTAGAAATCATTAATTATTCATTCTTGCAGTTCCAAGTAGAACATAGGGCTTCAGAGGCATACCTCAGCACTTTAAATGGTTCTATTACTGTTACCAACCTTTTGATATGTAAACAACAAATGTTATAGGATGAAATGAATTGATTTCATGCGTACCTATTTCTACAGTGCATACACTAAGTTTAGAATTTGTGTGCGACTTCATAATTTACAATAACACTAACAAATGTAAATGTCTCGATAAAGTTAAGTAGGAATGAAAAAGTTTTAAATGGGTAAGTGCAGACCAGAGGAAACAAATGAGTGCTAAATTAATAAAAGCAATTAGTGAAGAGCTTTTAATATTGATTTTAAAGCTATCAACACACTTCAGTGAAACTAATGTTCCATTTCACCTAAGGCCAATAAACTGGTCAATTGTTTTCCAATTGTGAACTCTTTATCACCTGACCGGGTAGCAAGTAGCACTGATCCTCCTCATAAAACATTTTATCACATTTTGGGATACTAGAACGCTGGTAACTTGCAGTTTCAGAATCGATGCATTTTTTAACACCATGAACACCCTGACTTATGTTGTTTTCTGAAATAATAGAGAAGTTTTGTAACTCAGGTGGATGATTTGCAATTAATAGTGTTCTCTGAGATGGTTGGTTTAGTTGCAGAGCTTTTGTCGTCTTTCTGGACGACATCTTCAGTTCAGTATTTAAGATAAAGTGAAATGATTTACATTTCTTCATGAGTGATATAATTGCGTCTCGCGGTAACCACATACTTTTTAACCATCGTATTGGCTGTTTACTTCAGCTGACGAGTTAATGGTTAATTCTGAGCTCTTAAGTGTGCAATTAGAGCAAATAAACTATGCTTAGTGAGCTAAGCACTACAGAATCAATTTCGGGTCGGGAAGTAAATGGACTCAGAAAATGAATGTGCTGGCAACTCAGTATTCTGTCTGCATGTACTGCTAAATATTGCCCTATTCGTTTAACAACAGGTTAGAAAGCAATACTATATTAATCATTCACAATAAATTCAAGCATTCAGAAAGTATTTAGTGGTAGAGATTGTTTGTTGCATTGTATAGTCATGATTGTATCCCAAAATTACAGTCCTCAGCTGGTGGAAATCCCTTTTAAATCATTTCAACTTTCCTCCTCTAATATAGTGTATTTCACCTCTTTATTGTTTTTTGTGTTTCACTGTACTAAGTGCATACTTTCTCACACAGTTAAACAAATGATGTGAATTAAGAACATTTTTATATATACTTTTAATAGACTGTATTTCATCAACATTTTAGGCTGTAATGTCGTCGCATCCTGTTTTGATTATAATCTTGATGATTCAGCTACTTGTATCCATCTCGGCTATGGTAGACTCACCATTTAGTACTGTTTATCTGATGAGTGAACCTTTCTGGTGGAACCCAAGGAGACTGGGATTAACCAAGTAATGTTTTGTGTACTATCAAAATAATGAACAACAATAAGTTTAATTTTTTTTGTTTTTCTTTTTTAATTTTAATTTCTTAATTTAAAATGACGTATGTGCATTTCAGCCAATAGTTTATTTCACCTGGAAAACACAACAAATAATTTTTCCTATCATCGTGTAGAAAATAAGCATATTAGTAGTGGATGCGTACTCTTTTGGCATATTATGAAGAGATATTTGACTGAACGATGAATAACAAACTTGTTTATTGAAAGAGAAGTACGAATACTTATTGATAACACGGTTAGTATTAAAGCAAACTGCAATATTATGAATAGCTGGTTTTTAAAACCCAAAAGCTCCAATTGTAAATTGTTTTATATAAATGTGGACTGTAGTTACACATAGTATGCAAGGAAGAATCGAGGATTTTTCAATCTTTTTTGGGCTCTAAATCTAGTGCATCGGTGGCATAGCGGTTAGGACGCTCGCCGACATGCACATGGTCCGGGGTTCAATCCCCGGCCGACAAACTCCTTTACCTCGCTAAGCCAGTAATAAGTTGATAAGAGGAAAGGTTGAGCATGAGGCTAGCAACCTCATCCTGTAAAAATAAACACTGCTACAGAAACTTCAGGCCTCTAGCTTGAAGCCACATATTCCACTGGGAAGGTGAAGCAATGAAAAATATCTAGGGTATACTAAAGTAATCAGTAATCTGCTTAAGCCCTGAGAGAAAAACATGCAGCACACCAAACTGGAAAAAGTGACAAAATATGGTACCGTGTCCCACAGCCTTTATTTATGGCGTCATTAAACGTCTAAGTAAGGAATTCTGAGGAACAATTTTCAAGAGAAATTCAGTTTTTGAGCAACTGAAGAATCCTATGTAGTTGGGAAACCTGTTTCCTCTGTTTTATCGACAATCATCAGTAAACAATTAGTGTCGAAATAAATTCTAGGCATAATCGAGATGTTTACTTCTGAAAAGAAGTAAGTGGTCAGTACTATTCATTCAGTGAAGTTAAACAAAAATTCATAAGTACAAAAAAAGTACACGAAATCAATCGTCATGTAAGCTACATGTTTTGAACTACAAAAGCAATGATCATGATCCAAAAATTGACATCATAACCCACAGCTTTAGGGTGAATCGGTCTTAGTCTTGAAAAACAGCTGACAGTTTAATGAACTTGTATAAACAAACAAAAATGAGGTCATTGAGGTGAATATGTGCTAAGAAAGCAAAATACAACCGGTAATCTGGTAACAGTTTGCTTACATTACCATTTTTTCATGTAAGGTGTATTATGAGGTACAAATAAAGTTGTCTATGCTTTGCTTAAAAAGCACAATGTTCCACAAGTAAAGACCATTTAAGATGTGTATTCTTCACTGTGAACTAAACTATGTATTCTTGTCTAACCACAGTGGCCTTATGCTACCTTCTCTTTATATATTCTCTAAATACTCAACACGATCAATAACCAAAGTCAATACAAATTCTAGCTCATTGTACTAGAGGTTATTTTTTTAAATTTCATTTTCTTTTAACTGGTATTGTGAATTTAAAACAATTGAAATCACGAAAATGCTATTTGGAAATTTATCAGTAGTAAGTGATTTTAGACGTACAGCTAGACAACATTAGGCTTATTTACATGATTTATTGATCGAATATAAAAGACAGGAATTTGCACGTAATAATGTCAGCTTAAAATATAAGCAAGAGTATTAGATTTCTGTGTACAGATCACTGCAACCTAGGGTTACATATGCTTTTATGATCTTTCAAAATAAGGTGTCACTGAACTGTGACAGTGATATGTTTCAATATAACATGAATAATTAGTGTGTAATAAACTCTGAATATCTGAAGTGATTTCCTGATCAAATAGACTCTGTACAAAAATGCCCACTGAAGTTAAGTGTGTTGGATAACCATTAATAATCGCTAGGCAAAACAACCTAATTTTTTAAATACTATGTAATGGTGGTTAGCTATAGTACACAGGTTAAGGTGGACAATCGAGGTCAATCAGAATATATCAACGCAAAATGGTTAAACTATTTCAATGCATCAGCCGACCCAGATTTACATCATGGAGTGGGTTCGGACGAATGCCCCAAAGCCAAACTATATTAAGACGGAGGAAGAAATTAATATAAGTATAAAAACTGGGCACTGTGGTAGAGTATAACTCCATTATGGATAAGATTCTATTTTGATAAATCACACAGCGTTGTTATACAGTAATATTAACTGATGATGTTTCGAGCACAGACTATTGCTCATGATCATATCAAGGAACTCGCACAACTTTCTTGTTTCATTTATATACAAAATTGATTAGACACATGCAACAGAAATGATTCAACACAAATACAACCGACGCACACCAGAGATATGGAAGATATTATTATTAGTCAACTCAGATAATAATAAATAATGTTAAAATATGTTCAATTCGCATTATAACATTCTAACAAGTTACATATTTTCCTGTAAAAAACATTTATTTCCCATCTGACTGTATTTGATTGATAGCATTATTATTAATTCTGAATTTATTCTATCTTACATTGATTTTAATCAAAAGTCTAATCAATTTCACTCATGCATATAAATGAAGCAAGAAAGTTGTGTGAGTGACTTGATATGATTATGAACAATGTTTGTGCTTGAAACGTCATCAGTTAATATTACTGCATAACACTGTGTGACTTATCAAAACAAAATCTTATCCATAATGGAGGAAGAAATTAATTACTGATTTTTCGTTTACTGGATCAACAGTTAATACATGGAATCAGAATAATTCAGCACCAGTTGGAGAGAGCAAGTAGGTATTGATATGAGCAGTTTGAAAACAATTTTAAAACCTAATATGACAGCTGAAAAAGAACAATCTACGCAAATGCAGGTGTTAGTAGCTTACTCAGCATAATATCATCATAATGGTTTAGTAATAACATGAATGCTCTTTTCTTTCCATGTAACCATGATAATATTTTGTTTTACTCACTCAGTGGTATAGTAGACACGTGTTCATCGGTATTGTCGATTGCTGCTGTTAATATATTGGTCAGATATCAAAAATCCGCAATGGCTAAACAATCAAAACCAGTGAATACTAATGATGATTCACACGGCATTGATAGGCAAAATGACCGGGTAAACTTAAGATTTCGGAGAACACTGTTTGGTTTGCTAATAGCTGCCTTGATTCTGATGTTGACCAATAGGATTTTAATGACTGTGGCATTTTTACCTTCATCGTCTACGGCTAACATGATTGTCTACATTGGTGAGTTGTGCATTTATCCTACTATTATCATTTCCTATTTCAGCCAGCCGAAGGATTGTTTTTAAGCTTTCATTTTCCATTCACACGATCTTTCCATGTCAGACAAGAACCCTAGACTCATCGATTGCTTCCCTTTTACTTTCCACTCAAGGAGCTGGAGGGCGTGACCATATGATGAAAGGAAAGCTGCTGATAAAGGTTTGAAACCGATTGGAAACATTGGTCTTGAAAATCCAAATTTAGTACTTTATGCTTAGTGCACTCATTTTAGATTAATGACTGCCTGTTTTGCCCTCTCGATCCTGCTTTTCACATCTTCATCAGTATCGCCTGTAGCTGAAATGACCCAGCTTAGACAACTAGAAGAAGTGGCTTCCTTCAGATTTCCCCAGTTGATGGTGATTGATGCTTGTCGTTGTTAGTCAGGTATCTTTCCTATGATAACTTGGAGTCCTGCCTTCACTGCCTCTACCTTCGGTCAAATTGTTGGCTTTCGTCTATAAATCTTATAGTATTTTTTTAACACGACATAAATCGTCCATATTTTCTAGAGTCTTCCTGTCAGCTCAAAGTATTCTTGTCTTTGAGCTCCTCACGGTCGGTTGAGTGATCCAACTCACCACAACTAGCAACATATTGGGAGATGATGAGTTATATACTAAATTTTATTGTGAAAATTTTTTAACATGAATTAACTGTTTGAAATAAATGTAATTATTTTTAGCGAATAATTAAATGGATCCTATGGATTTCCAGTAATGTTCAAGAATTGGTTTGAATGGATTTGATTTATTTTCAAATATGACTAGGGATCGATATTAGTTAGAGGACCATTGAAAACCAGGGAGAACTGGACAGCTGTTTCGTCATAGTTCCAGACTGTATCTTGAAAATTCATATGATGCCCTCTAGTGACTAGCTGTTTCCTGGAGCTTTGATGAGAAGTCGTGACTAGAGGGGTTCATCCAGTCGGACACGAGGACAAACACTCACCAATGACATTGGCTAGTAGTGGCGCTAAAATTAAAAAGCGGCAGAAGTTAAAATTCATGAGCTATATAGTCGGGGCCCAGCTGCTGGATAGTCTACTAGCTTGCCTTGTAAACAGGAATTCTTCGGTTTCGACCTCAGTGGGTGGGTACTGTCGATGACTCCCAAACAAGGATGAAATAAGTGTCCAGGACTCCCAGGTTTTCAACAATTTTTTCAATAATTATTTCTAATAAAGATAAATGAATGCAAAGATTTATTATAATTTACCTAGATAAGAGTGTTTTAATTCAAATCCATGTGCGGATGCATCAGAAGTTACTGGACTTTTGTGAATAGAGCTTTTAAGTGCCTTTTAAACGGTGTATTTACAACTAGATGGATAGCTAATATCATTATATTTTTTGTATTTAAAAGAATATTTCATTTTTTTCTCTTTTTCCCCCTAGCCTTAATTGCGAAGCTGGCCAAAAACATTAACTTCCCACTGTTGCGTACACTTGTCACTAACTGGAGTAGTACGCAAAGACAAGGTGTGTTATTAAATGAGAAATCATGTTATGTTCAAATTGAAGTAACTGAATTAGGTACCTTTTGGCAATTCCCAGCAGTTGGACTTCGTATTCCGACACGATGCCGAAAAATAGGGCCTTTGATAAAAGCTTACATAAACATAACATACATTATGAAGATACAATGCAGATCAATGAAAACCACGCAGTTTTCAAAAGCATGTCGATTACTCGTAAATATTCAACAATTGCTTATTCAGATTTCGGATTTTCTAGGGCTTTCCATTGATTTTTATCTTCATTTCATCACGGAACAAAATTCATCAGAAATCGTTGGGAACCAAGAAGTACCAGATAGTTGTTTCGTCCTAGTTTCCAATTCTTCCAAAGTGTGAAGCATCGCCTTGGCGTTGTGAGGCTAGTTATTGGCGTTTCAGCCACTGGGTTTGACATCTAATAAACTGTGCGTTGCAGCTTCTGTCAGCCTGAGATATAGCGTCACTGCTAACCAGTATCACAGGTAGGCGATTGCTATGTAGTGGTGGATCCCATCGTTCAGTTCAGCTAAATCCCACTACAGAGGTTAAGTGGTAAGCTGGCTAGCCTCGTAACCTGTAGGTCCTTCATTCGATCCTTGGTAGAGTTATGACTTTTAAAGGTCAAACATAGGATGCATTATGATTTATTTTTACAATGCATTGTCCGACATGTAATATATTTCATATGAAAATGAAGGTGGAGTTTAGTTCACTATGGAAATTCGCCTTACTTCATATGCCACCCACATTAACTCCATAATTATATCTATGAAACACAGCTAGTATTCTGAAGAATGACCAACAGGTTTACTTACTTGATTTCTCTAGTGCTCAAGAAAAGAAAAGATAACCAGACTTTGGTTGCGTAACAACTAAGATGCCAGTCAAGGTGATAAGATCACTTTGAAGTTTGACAGGAAGAAATTATTATCATCTATGCAGGAAGATGACTGAGGTCTCAATTAAGGCTGAAAAGCGATGATGAGAAGGACATGGCATCGATAAAACGGAAATGATTAGCAGTATGAAGACCAGTAGAAGTGAGATCAGAAACTGAACATACTGGTTCTGGGGAAAAAGTTTGGATTTATCAGTCGCTGTGACCTGTGTAATGCAAGTTCAAGGACTTCGGCCTTCTGTACGTTATGGCCTGACTCAGTGATAATTATGAAACTAGTATCTACTTACTGATTCGGTGGCTGACTTCTCATATTTTGCTGGCAATGTTTGTGTATTCATATTTGAAATTGTGCGTAATATCCACCAAAATTATGATGTGAAATCAATTTTGGTTTATGGTTCTTTTTCTAGCAAACTGTATCAGACACAAAGATTTTGTAAACTCTGAATAAGATTAATAATAATGACAACAGAAGATAAGACTAAGTGACCTAGAATACATTTCATGTCTGATACAAACAGTAAATTGGTCTATCATATTTTTGAAAGTTTTACCCGTGACATGAAAAAATGAAATATATCACTATTGATTCTTATTAATGTGAGCAGACAATAATGAACTAAGAGTATTATTCGATTTTGTATTGTTATTTATACCACACTAGTACATTTTGCCATAGTTCTGTTAGTTTGATTCAATGGAGTGCCAGTTTTTACTGAAATTCATTCATTCCTGGTTATCCGAATCCATTGGTCTGTCTACTCTGATCTGATGAATTGAGCTCCTGTCTTCAAATACTTGACGACTAAAGTAGTCAGGGAACAGAAGTATATCATTTAATGGAAAGAATTTACATAAGTTCACTTTGTGTTGAAATTTGCACTGAAGATGTTGCCTTGAAAGGCAAAGAGAACTTCCCAGTTAAATCATCCAGCTCATATAACGTAACCACATCACACAAAGAATTGTAAAGATCTAGAATGGAGAAAAAAGGCAATATCTAATATTTTGTGCTTCCACTTATTGTCTAAAAAGTATTCTATGATAATTTTATAGTTATTTTGGTTTCTGTTTGTGGTCACCAGAAATCATCGGGTCCCAGTGACTTAACGGCCTACGAGCTCGCCTTGTTATTAGAAGGTCCTGGCTTCGAACCCTGGCGGTGGGTACCTTCTCTGAAGAGTACTAAACTAGGACGAAACAGCTGTCCAGTACTCCCAGGTTTTCCAATGGTTCTCTAACCGACGTCAGCTCATGATGAAATCTTGTAACCGATCAGTAGACTCCCTACAAGCCAATACTTGAATAGAAATGAAATAATCAGCATCATTCGGCATATATAAATACTAGTTTTTTAATGAACCGTGCCTTCTGCCAAGGCATGGTGACATGCTTCGTTAGTGCCCAGTTGTCATATTTTTAACGTTCTTTTCAATCAAGATAGCAAGAGATCTATGACGAAGGGAATGAAATTGCATAATATGACTACTCAAAATATTTTATGGTTGATTTTAAAATATATATGTAAGATATGTATTTCTTTGAAAATCATGGCTTATTTGAGTTTCAAATGTGAAATTTCAATGAATACTAAAGTGCATTAATTTTCCATACACAAGCAGTTAATGTTTTTTGCACTGCCTTACTATTTTATTTTTTTTTTTTTTTATTTAAAAGTGGCGTCATTTAGAAGTTAACTGAAGGTATAGATAATTATACACTGCCCCATGCATGTATGTTGTGCACACTATGAACTGGAATGAAAATAATAATGAAGTGATATGATTAATAAGTAACCTGAACAGATATTGTTTGGAATAGAAGTCAGTGCACTCTAACTGTTCATTACTGAAGTCACACTGCTCAAAAGAAGGGAGGAGTTGAGTAGAACTGCACTTCTCTACGCTGTTCATCATAGAATCTACCATCGTGCAAGGAGATAAAAAAAACTGCATATCAGTTAATCAGATATGTTGATAGAAATCTTATCAGGAAATCATGTCTACATAACTGTGTGAGGTGACTGAATTTCCTCAAATGGTGTTGATGACTTTGTGTGAGTAAAAATAAAGAATTAACTGATGATCTATTAGCAGCACTTGATTTCGTGAATAATATGTCTGATTGAAATCGACATTACTATTATTATTGTCTTTACTGTGAGGTGGAATAAAAGTTTAAGTGTATTTATGAATTAGCGGCTAACTAAAGAAATTAAATCAAGTATCATTCTAAACCTTAAGTGATAGCAGAGGCTACACAAGATGAACCAAAAGAACAGCATACGTTGTAAATTTACGGCATTACTCAGAATCTCAGTGCAAATGAAAAGTCATTCCTTTTGAAACCTCAGAATATTAAACCTCAAGTAAACAGCTTTCATTAAATATTTCAACAGAGCATCCTAAAATGGAAGATGCAGAAACTCTGCGATTTTGAATGATGAACAGAAATTATTACAAAGTCACTTTCTTTCGTGACGTTAAAATATCTTGCAGATGTCTTTTACCTACTAATTAAGACTTCGTATGTCAACGATAGATATTATTTAGGTTTACAGAATTTGAGGTAACTAGGTGAGTAACACATCGATAAAATTGGAGGGGAAAGTACCAAACATCCGAGAAAAATAATGCATAGTGATTGATGATGAGGTGATTCATGATTAAACTGCTTTCATATATCTGAATCAGACATTTTCCACCTTGACTTGATGTGACATCCTGACTAATTCACTAGCATGTTTCTTTCAGGTTACGAGCAAATGAAGAATTCATAAACTTCTTGCCACAGTAAGCATATTCATTGGACTTTAATGATATGAATTATACTTTACACACAAAACCGTTTATAGATTTAAGTGGCAGTCAAATGAATTGTAAATTCCCCAGTCAGTAGTTTATAATTTTGAAAATTTGTCTTCACACTGATAAAGACGGAAGGAAATCTTTTTTATGATGTGTACAATATGAATTTTATTGTCGCACTTTTTATATTACATTATATTAATATTTATACCAACAGCAAAGTAACTAAACTGCGCAGTTTATTTTCTTTTCTCCTAAAGGTTTGATTCTCTCTTTTGCATCCTTCATATCACGTATCGGTCTTCTAATCAGCGTAAGTGCTCTACCACTGGTTTATTCAGCGACACTTTCGTATTTTCCCGGTGCTGTCTTCCTTATATGCGCATCATTGTTGCTGGTTGCTCTTTGTGCTTCAATGTAAGTGACGTTTAAACAGCATAAGCTGGTTTGGTTTAGCTTTTATTTTTATTCCTTTACGTTTCCAGTGGAACATAGAGCTTCAGGCTAGAGCTTTGCAGCTTCAATAGCAGTGATGTTTATTTTGACTGAATAGGGTTGCTAGCCTCAAGCCCGACCTTCCATCCTAAACAGTTTTGTTACTGGTTCATGTGGATAAAGGAATGAGTTGGCCTGGGGATGGAATCCTGAATCACATGAGTGGTTGGCGAGCATTCTACCTCTGTGCCACCAACGCACAGTTTAGCTTTAATGTTGTCATATAACTATTTTCCCCATATCCACAAATTACACCGAATAACGTGTGTATGTATTCTCTGGTTGAAGGATTTTGTTTATGATCTCCTAAGATTTTTTTTATCTAATTGTTGACATATTTTTCGTAGAACAAATTAATGAACTAATAAACTTCTATGCATTATGGCCGAATAAGTCTCGACATTAAACTGTGCACAGAAGTGCAGCATTTTTAGTTGCTATACTCCCTGTGGAACAGTAAGGGAGGCAAAAGAGAAGCGAAGAGATTCAAAAGAATTATAACCAGTAGAAATGTGTGAGAGAAAGAAAACATGAGGGTATAGTGGACATGGACGTTCACAAAGAGTGCCTCGTATCTTTAAAATAGTCAGCTTTTCAAAGTAATGCATTTTCAATTTTTCTTCAGAGTAATATGTGGAAGCAAAGTATAATTTGGCAGAAATAAGAAACACTGTGACTTAACTATGGTGACTCAGTGTTAAGGAGTTTTAGTCCACTGTAAACACTTCTAAAATTATAAGCATAGAAACGTAATGCATTTCTCCAAGAATTCATCTGAATTTATTCACTTTGTAATAAGGACGTATGCTTGTATATTAACTAAGCTTGTCTGAACAGTACTAATTACTTTTCTTCAAACATTTTTCCACAATATCATAAATATTCACCGGAGATGATAAGTAAACCATATGTCACTCCACTTCTCAGTTCTCCATCACTATTATTATTACCGTTATAGTTTAAACCTTGACTAGAAAGAATCATGGCCGATCTGCCAGCAGGTAGAGGTATAGCGAAGTATGAATAAAGTATAAGATACATGTTAAATAATTACACCAGCTTTTACTTATTATATTCTGAAGCAAAAATTACATCTGAATGCCTAGCAATTACAGATAAAAACCGTTTTATGAAATCCCAGATAGTGTTGTTTGTTGGTTATCGCAGCTAACTGAATGTACAATAAAATGAAATATTATCGGTACCATTTTACAAGTGAATAATAGAAATCTTGAATGACTCAATAAAAGGCATGTCCCATTGTGGTGAGAGCAGTTGCTAGCCAATTGGTAGACATTAATTTACGTCAATGTCTATGTCGTTAATATTGGTGGTGAGAAAATATGGACAAGACTGATTCAACAACCAATCACAACAGACTTAATGTGGGAAAATACGATTCACTGATATATGGGTAACTTTTTGAGGAACCAGTCACAAGCAGTACAGAATAACCTTGAGCAAGAAACAACCAATGAGAAGACTGTGTTTGTTTGCTTGAATAAGCTTTAATAATGTACATGAAATATGTATAAATACGTGCTGATTTCCTTAATAAAAGGATTTGTTGCCTGGCCTTTGTCTTCTGTTGTTACATTTAGTGTCGCTGCCACCCTTTTATAAGAAGCGTGCATTATGACAGCAAAGTTGAATAAATGAAAAGATATCCGTTTATAAAATGAAAGCATTTATTCTTTTAAGTTCTTAACAAGTATATCTGTGAAATCTTCATGATGACAGCAAATCTCTATTCACTTTATTTTCATATTATGTATGTGAAAAAGCAACCTTATAATTTGGAAAGTGTACACTAACCAAAAGACTGATCTCACGTGGATGACTTTGATGTAGCTGTTTTTGTTGATCTGGATGGTTTATTTGCGAAGCTTTCATTGCCTTACTAGGAAACATCTTCAGCGCATACTTCAATTTGAAGTTAGTTTTTAGATTTCTTCGCGAGTTTATAAGCCATCTCTCCTGGTGACCTTGAACGTGATTGGTTGATTTTGTGTGTTTTCACACCTACTAGGTTACTTGTATTGGAACAGATTGTTTCCTTGACCTAGACTTTGACCCTTTGTGTGTGAGATCTCCTTCTTATCGATTGGTAAATTTTGTCCATCTCAACGTGTTGAGTGATTGACGATTCACTGGAATACCAGGCTTCTAAAAGTTCACTAGAATTCTTGGTGTTTCCTCTGTCTAATATTTGAATGTTGTCCCAGTTGAATTGATGTCCGTGGTTATCTTTATGTAGTGACATTGTGGTGAGAGCTGGCTGTTAGTCAAAATTGCTGGACAGGAATTGACGTCAATGTTTATGTCCCCAATATTGGTCGTGAGAAAAATGAGAACAAAGGCTTTGCGCAGGCGGATACAGTTAACATATAGATGATCTGACATTCAAGAAACAGCCACAAGGAATTGCAAGGTAAACCTTCAGGGAGAAACAACCAATCAGAAAACTGTGTTTTTCTGCTAACAATAATCTATAATATGTACATGAAAATCTATAAATATGTGTTGATTTCCATATTAAACGATCTGTTGTCTGGCCCTTGTCTTCTGTCATTACAACATTAGGGAGTGGATGTCATATCTTTCGACAGCTAGTTTATGATCACGGATACGAAGACGAAGGGGACGTTTACCTTGGCCAATATAGTGTTTTCGCAGTTGTTACAATTTATTTTGTAGATGATGTTGGCTTTATCTTCTTTCGTTGTTAAGTGATGTGATTTTGTTGGTTAGTGTGTGACGTCAGTTCCTAAAGATTTGAAGAGTCATGTAGTGATTTCTGAGATGTCCATTATATATGGTAGGGTGATTTTCTTTTTGCTTTTCTTGAGGGTCTTTGAAATGGTAGGTTGGCTCGGGGGTAAATGTCATTTGATGAAATTCCGTGGATATCCATTCTTTTGGAACACGTCTATGAGGTACTTTTCTTCAATTTTCCTTAGAGTGGGAGTGCTGCAATGAGTCCTTGCTCTCCTGAAAAGTGTTTGTGTGCAATTCCTTCTGTGTGTTATTGGGTTGTTGCTGTTGTAATTCAGGATTTGGTCTGTGTGAGTTGATTTCCTATAAACTTGAGTTTCTTATTCCCCTGTGTTTGTTCGCTTGACTAAGACGTCCAAAAATGGTATTTTGTTCTCGAAATCCTCTTCTTTTGTGAATTTGATGTCGTTGAAGACATTGTTTATTAGGTTGTGAGTTTTATCCAACTCATTTCTTTCGATTATTAAGAATGTGCCATCTACGTAACGTATCCAAATTTTTGGTAGTATCTTTGGTAGGATTATGTTTTCGAGTCTTTGCATCACTGCTTCTGCAATCAAACCTGATATTGGCGATCCCATGGGTGTTTCTTTGACTTGTTCATATATTTAGCTGATGAAGTGGAAGTAGGTTGTTAGGCATAGGTTTATGCATTCCATCCCACTTGTGTTCTGAGAGGTGTTCGTCATTGCAGAGTGATTGCTCCATCGTCCCTTTTGCTAGTTTTTGTCCAATTGAGGTATATAATGCTGTGACGTCGAAGCATTACATTATTTCTTGGTTATCTACTTGAAAAAAGCAACCAATCAAGTTCAGGATCACCACGAAATATGACTTATACACTCATGGAGAAATCTATAGGCTAATTTCAAGTTGAAGCACACACTGAATATGTTGCCTAGTAGAGAAATGAAAGCTTCGCAAATAAACCATCCAGATTAGAGAACATAACTACAACAAAAAAGATTAATCTACTGTTCATGGGGACACCATCAACCATCAACTGCAGCTTGCACTTACATACACCTGACGAGTACCAAACTTGACGAAATATTCATCCTGCATTCAAATGGTGTTTTGTCGAATAATTAGTCAGAGAAGTATATAAGATTTCAAGTGTTGGTTTGTAGGGTTTTTGTTTTACTGAAACGGGTTCTTGGTCCCTACCGCTCGTAGCTACGGCCCAGCTATATCATCCATGTTCCCCGCCGTCCCTATTTAAAAAATCACAGGCAAGTATAATCTCTAGATTTCTTTCTCAAATTCCATTTTATCATTTTTACATTCACTTGCAAAGTATGTTTTTCATCTTGTTATACATCTTATTTTTATCTTCTTTTGTAGTTCACTGTTTTTTGTGGCTAAACACCAAAGACTCAATTCAAATGCGGTGAACAGGGATGTAAATTTTGTAAACAATAAAATATAAAATAATTATGTAAAATGCCATAGAAGGTACTTGTTATCTGTATAGGTGTAGTAGACGAGATATTTTACACGGATAAAGTGGAGAGTACATTTCTCATTATGTATTAAAATTTTAGTTTATTTATTTGTTTTGATACGTAAATTAGTATTTTGTTTTACTCTAATTTTTAACTTTATTTGTCATAAATTAAATTTCATTTTGGAGATCTGAGAAACAATTATGGTTACCATCATCATCATCATCACCAGGTAATATTCATCGACAGTCAGCTCACGTTTTTACTAGACAATCCTTTACTTTCTTCATTTGAATTCACAGTTATATTACAGCAATCATATGTCGGGACATTCTGCATCTTATTGATTAATGGCTGTTTGAGCATATTTCAAAATAACTGACTTGATTCCTAATAAAGGATACATGATTTGTATACACAGTCCAGCTTTCCTAATGTCTAAACTTTGATCATCACAGCCGGTCTGTGCCGGTCTTCAAGAGAAGACCAGTTGTTAAGATTTATACATAAATATATGTATACATTTTTCGGACAGAAACTTCAGATTTGGGCTGATTGTCACCGCTAGTTTAGGTATTCAGTTGATGAACTGAAATTACTCACTAAAGGATTTCTTATTGTAGCACATGTTGCTATTATTGTTTCGTAAACGCTTAGAGACAGGCTGCTCATATGCCCGAAAACTTTACTCAGTATTAAAGCATAGCAGGTTAGATGAAAATGCTTATACCTTCACGTCCTTGTGTTATGGCTAATTTTGTTGAACATGGTGATATCGGCTGTGTTCCATTATGACTCAATTGATTTGACAATTATTTTAAAATTGAACCATAATGCTGCATAGTATTATTTGAAAGTATTAAAATAATTTAACAAAAAAAGTTAAAATTCAAAAGTTCTATTCTCCAAACTGCTAATGAAACACTTTGACCACTTGATCTTCTGATTAACTGAAAAAAATTCGCTTAGTATTCCATGAATAGACAACTGTGTTTACTAACAATTTCATTAATTCGTGATCAGGCTATGATCCATATTAATACAGCATACAGTCAAAATAGACTTTACAAAGTTAAACAGTACACCACTACGGGTTTTTCATACAGAAACACACCATACAGTCACGTTTGTGGTGAAATTCGACATCCCAACTAAATGAAATGGTAGCACTCACTACCTAGCATTTTTAAAGCAAGATGGATGATACTCACATTATGAACTAGCATAATCTTATTTTACTGGCTCTCATCAACTGCAGAGTTCCTGGTTGTAAATGAATCGAATTAGTATACTTAAAACGTTGAAAGGAGAATAATGTTTGGATACCTGAGTACTGAAAAGGAAAGCATTCATTATTACATAAATTTGAGTGTGAATGAGGGTAAAGGTAAGGAAGCAAAAGAAAGGTGTTACTAGTTTGTGAGGTTATGTAACAACTCACGAAATTTCTGTTTAATACAGAGAAACCGGTATTTCAGCGAAGAGTCTCTTTTCGCCAAAATCATCTTTACAGCTGTACAATCGCACATATATCGTTGTTTTGTATGTGTGTTTAGATTAAATTCGTCAAACAGAAATACACTTATTCAAGTGTTGGTTTGTAGGGATTTGATTGGTTTCAGGATTTCATCATGAGCTGACATTAGTTAGACAACCATTGGAAAACCTGGGAGTACTGGACAGCTGTTTCGTCCTAGTTTGGGACTCTTCAGCAGTACGCACTAATGTCAGCTCATGATGAAATCCTGAAACCAATCAAATCCCTACAAACCATCACTTGAATACCAATGAGATGCTCACGGGCGACTGGCCCCCGAAGACATTGGCTAGCGGTCGCGCTATGTCGTGAATTGGCAGAAGTTAGAATTCAAGGACCATTGGATCGGGTCCCAGTGGCTTAATGGTATACGAGCTCGCCTTGTAACCGGAAGGTCCTGGGTTCGAATGATGGCGGTGGATGCGTACAGATGAAGAGTCCCAAACTAGGACGAAACAGCTGTCCAGTACTCCCAGGTTTTCCAATGGTTCTCTAACTAATGTCAGCTCATGATGAAATCCTGAAAGAAATACACTTATTAAGTCTTAGGTGGAGTTACTTCATACAAAATGTGTTCAGTGGAATTGTGTCTTGATACAGAGGGTAGTAACAAAAGTGATGAGCTGTCACAAACGGTTACTAAAGATGAGTTCCGTAATAACACGAATAGTTTGATGAAAGAGTTGTGTTCAGGGTGTACATGGAAACAAAACAAAACAAAATACGAAATAACGTAGGAGTTTTAAGTAGTTAGAAAAAACGAGCAAAGGTTAAGTCACATCAACACAGTTGTTACCATGATAGTAGAAGCGGCTGACTAATTTTCTTTTGTATGCATAGTTCTGGTTCTTCTAACTAAATGACTAGGGCATCTGCAATGCAAAGAAGACAGAAGAGTATTGTCTTTGGCAGGTTGTTCTACACTTTGAAGATTACTTTGAAATAGGCGTTTGTTAAGATGGAATGATCAGTGGTGACGAGATGTTAGATTATTGCACTCTCTATACGGCCACTACTTCCTTTTTGGAGCAACGTCGAATAGTGTTCTTTGATACTTTTTGACAGGATGCGCGTTGAACGACCAATTTATCTGGCTTCACAGCAACAGGTGAACTGATATATACGCATCGTCTCATCTCAGTAGCTTTAGCATGGCTTGATGACCCTGAAACCTCTGTATGTTTAGTATTTTCGATGAAAGCCTGTGAAATTCGTCTGGAGAACTGTCAGTATGAACTTCGTTGGTCTCAAAACTTGTTGATATTTACAACAAATTCAAGGTGGAAATAGCTCTCACATTGATACCGTGGATTTCGTCTTAAGTGAATTACTGGATATTCTTCCATCCTTTTATACTGGTTTGGACGCAAGTTTGACCACCTGTCTTCTAGAAATACTTATTTTTGTTTAGATGGGTACTAAATTCAACTGTGAAACACTCTAATTCTGACAGATAAAGCAGAAGGAGACAGGAGTATTAAAAAGTACCTCAGTGCAAATTCGCTAAAACTGGTAGTCATAATGAAGTGCTCTGATGTCATCCCATTTGCTCTGCAAGGTCATAAGTAAAGATAATGAGCAGTTTTCGAATACTACCTGTTTATTGTCAACAAATCTCAATAAATACTTTTACGGATATCTCCTTTTCGAATTGAACTTTCATAAGAAACAGAATATTCTGGAACCGTAATAAAATGATTCACAAATAATGATTATGCTCAATAAACTGTGAAGGAAAAGTTATTCATTTGTTAATAATTTATCAGTGTGTTGTATCAAATAAATGTACCTAATAATACTCAACTAGTGACTAAACTTTCACCGAGGATCCTGTAATCAAACTCTCTAGTTCAGCTTTTGATGTTCTTATGGAAGATCAAATGTAGTCACCGTTTTTTGAAAGCTTAGTGTGACTATTAATCAATATTGCTCATCTGTCATATTTCTTTTGGCTGCCTAAATGTGTATTGCCAGATAAACACGAAACATTTTTCGAATATTGGTTAAACTGGTGCACACAGTTGCAGGCGTTAACATATATTTACTTCATATGTCGTTAGGAGCTAATTATACAGGTTATAACAAAAGAACACTTTTCAGATGTAGACAAAAATATCTACGTGATTTGGTGCTGAGTAGAAAAATGCAGATTCGGTTTTCACGTAATCCAGGATCCATAAGATGTTTATTATTTGCAATTCATCAAGTCAGTCAATATATCTACTTACAGTTTTCTTACTGAATAGCTTACAGTTGATAAAAACTGCAATCTTACTGAAGACGTTTCGTTCAGCTTGTCTTACTATTACATTCTTATTTCTAAAACTTCCTAGCACTTATTTCTAAGATATCCGTTCTCAGTAACGTTCACTATCACGCTTTGAAGATCATTTCGATGAGCGAAACAAAATTGTCAGTTTTAAAAGCACGCCATTTCACAATTCTATATTCACTTTAGTGATATTTTGACATCAACGCACACTAAGAGCCAACTCACACTGCCAGACTGGTTTAGTTACGAAAACATAGAATCCGACAATCTTTACTTTCTTAAAAGGAAATAATGTTAAATTCATCTTTATTCCATTGGTGGTGGCTAGCAGTGGAGTTCAAAGCACGTGTTTCTTACGGTTTATGATACATAAGCTGAATATACCTGCATTCTAGTGAATCATTTGACTAAAATGTTTCTAAAATTTTATATTCTTCTGATTCACAGATTACCACATAAGGAAAAGTTAAGTTTCAACACTAATTCTGATTGATCAAAAACCATACTAGGCAAGCGTATTATCTGAGTTGTTACATACTATCATGTAGAAGAAATATATTCACTTTCTTTCATCAGATATCTACAAACAACAAAACATTTTTGAAACCTGTAGGAGGAAGTTTTGAAAAATTTTAAAATCCTCTATGACTTCAATGCACATAGGCTGACAGAATAATTTAAGTTTTGTTTGTCAGCAGCTAAAATTCGGCATTATGGAAATAAAAATATCACGTGAAAAGAGCTCAAAACCCTTAAATAAAATGTCTTCCTGCAGTTCTAGTTACTTATAAGTAATCTATTTGTTTTCTATTCAATTTTCATTCTCCCCTTTATTGATTAAACGGAAATGTCCGGCCGCTGTTAACATATCGGCTCCTAGTATGGTTTCTTCAACGACGTCTGAAGATTGACTTGAAGAAATTTAGTAGATGTCGACCAGCAGTAGAATTCAGGATGCGTGTTTAGTCCTATTTAGGACTCGTCATCTCGGTGTGTCTGCATATTCAGTGAGATTCGAACCCAATACCCATCGTTTCAAACTCCAGACACCACCCTCTACTGGGAATAAAGATAGAGAAACTCACGGTACCTTTTATGTTTCTTCTTTATTCCCCCAATGCACTGCTGTTGGAGATTCTGGATTTTGTGTGCGAAGAAATCACTAGACGAAACATGGTTGTTGGCATTCCGGTATATTTAAACAAGGAATTTCTTTTCAGATGTACATTCAATATTCATTTTTTATTTAAGGAATTCTACAGAGCTTCTAATAATTTGGCTACGGAGACGCTGATAGGACGGATTTTAGCTGACATTTTTCTCGCTATATTAGAAAATAGACGTTTGAAAGGTGTGGTTGTTGAAGTGGAGTCCTTTTATCGTTACATGATTGCTACATTTCTGATTATGAAAAGTGGGAATGAAGCAAAGAATATCCATGAAGATTTTAATAAAGCCCATACTGAAATAAATTTAACTTTTCGTAAAAATAGATATAACAATATTTCATTCCTAGATCTCCTTTTTACTAGGGAAGATGACTGTGTGATAAAAAGGAGTAAGCATAGAAAACGTATCTCGACTAGTGAGTATGCATTTGAAGTAGAGTAATTGATTCACAGAGCTGGAGTAACCTGCGATAATAACTATCATAATGAGGAACTGAAGATTATCGGAGAACTGATCTGTAAAAACAGATGTCCAAAAAGGTTTATTGAAAAAAATATGAATTTAACGACAAGGTAAGCTAGTATGTCAACTGCTCCGCAGAAGACCTTGTTCCTAAGACTGCAGTTACTTGATCATAACAACAGTGAAATAATAATGCTACGCCTTAAGAATATAGTAAAAAGAACTGATACGATCCCACATATTTTGGTATTGACTGTTTAATCTTGCATATATGGTATGTTATCATTCTCACACATTTTGGTAGTGACTGCTAATCTTGTATATATGGTATATTATCATTCCCACACATTTTGTTACTGACTGTCAACCTCGCACATATGGTATATTATCATCTCTCACGCACTTTGTTATTGGCTATTAAGATAAATTATTTCAAATGCTGTTAGCTGTCCATATTGTTGTAAAATGTATAAATACCATGGCTTTCTTTATCGTTGTTGCACTTCAATACACAGTCACAGTCCAGCCTTTGTCTTTTGATATTTGCGTGCTTTACTAAGTCGGAAGGTACGACGAGCAGATAGGCAGATTAGTTCAGGCGCAGACAGAATAAGGTGAAAACGTCTTCATTCAATTCCCTACAGTTATAACAAATTGGCGACGGGGTTTACCTTAATTCAGTGCAGTTATAACAAGCAAACGACGACAGTTTTTATTCTGTTCAGCGCAGCTATATAACATTTTTGACTGTGTTAATTACAACCCAATTACAATGTCTATCTCTCTGGACGATCTCAAATCTATCTTGCAGCAGCAGCAAGTTCAGAATGAAGCAGCTCAACTAAAATTAATCGAAGCTCTCACTCAGAAGCTGTCCATTCAAGTTCCATCAACATCTCATTCTGACAAATATGAAAGCATCTCAAATTCCATCAGTGAGTTCAACTACGACCCAATATCTGGTCTCGTATTTGATGCATGGTTCAATCGTTACGAAGACGTCTTCCGTATTGAATGCTACATGTTTGATGATGCTGCCAAAGTCCGATTGTTACTAAGAAAACTTGGTACTGTTGAGCACAACAGATATGTTAACTTCATTCTGCCCAAGAACCCACGTGAGTTATCATTCGATGAGACAGTCACCGTTTTATCACAAATCTTTGGTGAACAGTCATCCATGTTTAATATTCGGTATCAATGTTTTCAGTTGACAAAAATGCCTTCCGATGATTATGTGACTTACGCTGGCAAAGTGAACAAGGAATGTGAAAGGTTCAAACCACACGAAATGACATCAGATCAGTTCAAGTGTTTGATTTTTATTTGTGGGTTGAAGAACCCAGAAGATACTGACATACGAACTCGACTTCTGTCACTTGTGGAACAAGACCCGAAAATGACTTTACAAATGGTGACAGCAGAATGCCTACGTTTAATCAACTTGAAGCACGATACTGCTATGGTGGAGTGCAAACGACAGTCGTCTGAATTTGGTTCGATTAACACAGTGAAAAGTCCTCCGATCACCGTTAAGCACACAGAACGTCAGTCTCAAAATTCAGCTAAACCTCCTTCAGTGTGCTGGCACTGTGGTTCGTGGCATTTTGTCAAGTTCTGTCCTTTCAAGAAGCATAAATGCCGTAATTGTCACCGTTTTGGACATAAGGAGGGTTACTGTACACCGCAGAAAAATCCTTCGGTGAGGAACAGAAGTAGTCGTTTCAAGCCGAAACAATCTCCTCGAGTACAGACCGTTTTCACTACTTCCAAAGTCGAGTTCGCCAGCAAACGTAAGTACATAACACTAGATATTAACGGCAAACGTATTCGTCTTCAGTTGGATACGGCATCAGATATCACCGTAATTTCCCGAACTACGTGGCGCAAACTTGGTTGCCCACAGATTCTGCCGACCGAGCATGTCGCCAAGAATGTCTCTGGAGATATACTGAAACTCGTGGGTGAGATCAATTGCCAGGTTCAGTTTGGTGAGCATCACTTCAATGGTGTATGTTACGTTACAAACTACCATGATTTGGATTTGCTTGGTCTTGACTGGTTAGACAAGCTCCATATCTTTAATGTACCATTAAATTCAGTATGCTCTAATGTTTCGTCTTCACCACACAACGTTGTTCCCGGAGATGTATCTGATCAATCTCTCTTGCAACGCCGTCGTCAAAAGCACGCTTCTGTCTTCCAGGACAAACTTGGTTGCTGCAAACTGTTTGGCATCCAGCATATTCGTAGCCCCCCGTATCATCCCCAATCGAATGGACAGACTGAACGTTTCGTCGACACCCTTAAGCGTGCTTATGCAAAAGCGAAGGGGGAGGGAACAACAGAAGAAATTTTGGATAAATTCTTGCTGCATTATCGTACGAATGAAAAAGGACAGTTATGTGTCAGACACACAGATCACGCTCTATCCAGTACCACGCAAAGGTCAACTCGACAAAGAAGAGCTCCGAAACCTTTTCAAATAGATCCAAAAAGCAAGTCCTACACTCTTTACGGGGGGAGGTGATAGGATCCCACATATTTTGGTATTGACTGTTTAATCTTGCATATATGGTATGTTATCATTCTCACACATTTTGGTAGTGACTGCTAATCTTGTATATATGGTATATTATCATTCCCACACATTTTGTTACTGACTGTCAACCTCGCACATATGGTATATTATCATCTCTCACGCACTTTGTTATTGGCTATTAAGATAAATTATTTCAAATGCTGTTAGCTGTCCATATTGTTGTAAAATGTATAAATACCATGGCTTTCTTTATCGTTGTTGCACTTCAATACACAGTCACAGTCCAGCCTTTGTCTTTTGATATTTGCGTGCTTTACTAAGTCGGAAGGTACGACGAGCAGATAGGCAGATTAGTTCAGGCGCAGACAGAATAAGGTGAAAACGTCTTCATTCAATTCCCTACCGTTATAACAAATTGGCGACGGGGTTTACTTTAATTCATTGCAGTTATAACAAGCAAACGACGACAGTTTTTATTCTGTTCAGCGCAGCTATATAACATTTTTGACTGTGTTAATTACAACCTAATTACAATGTCTATCTCTCTGGACGATCTCAAATCTATCTTGCAGCAGCAGCAAGTTCAGAATGAAGCAGCTCAATTAAAATTAATCGAAGCTCTCACTCAGAAGCTGTCCATTCAAGTTCCATCAACATCTCATTCTGACAAATATGAAAGCATCTCAAATTCCATCAGTGAGTTCAACTACGACCCAATATCTGGTCTCGTATTTGATGCATGGTTCAATCGTTACGAAGACGTCTTCCGTATTGAATGCTACATGTTTGATGATGCTGCCAAAGTCCGATTGTTACTAAGAAAACTTGGTACTGTTGAGCACAACAGATATGTTAACTTCATTCTGCCCAAGAACCCACGTGAGTTATCATTCGATGAGACAGTCACCGTTTTATCACAAATCTTTGGTGAACAGTCATCCATGTTTAATATTCGGTATCAATGTTTTCAGTTGACAAAAATTCCTTCCGATGATTATGTCACTTACGCTGGCAAAGTGAACAAAGAATGTGAAAGGTTCAAACCACACGAAATGACATCAGATCAGTTCAAGTGTTTGATTTTTATTTGTGGGTTGAAGAACCCAGAAGATACTGACATACGAACTCGACTTCTGTCACTCGTGGAACAAGACCCGAAAATGACTTTACAAATGGTGACAGCAGAATGCCTACGTTTAATCAACTTGAAGCACGATACTGCTATGGTGGAGTGCAAACGACAGTCGTCTGAATTTGGTTCGATTAACACAGTGAAAAGTCCTCCGATCACCGTTAAGCACACAGCACGTCAGTCTCAAAATTCAGCTAAACCTCCTTCAGTGTGCTGGCACTGTGGTTCGTGGCATTTTGTCAAATTCTGTCCTTTCAAGAAGCATAAATGCCGTAATTGTCACCGTTTCGGACATAAGGAGGGTTACTGTCCACCGCAGAAAAATCCTTCGGTGACGAACAGAAGTAGTCGTTTCAAGCCGAAACAATTTCCTCGAGTACAGACCGTTTTCACTACTTCCAAAGTCGAGTTCGCCAGCAAACGTAAGTACATAACATTAGATATTAACGGCAAACGTATTCGTCTTCAGTTGGATACGGCATCAGATATCACCGTAATTTCCCGAACTACGTGGCGCAAACTTGGTTGCCCACAGATTCTGCCGACCGAGCATGTCGCCAAGAATGTCTCTGGAGATATACTGAAACTTGTGGGTGAGATCAATTGCCAGGTTCAGTTTGGTGAGCATCACTTCAATGGTGTATGTTACGTTACAAACTACCATGATTTGGATTTGCTTGGTCTTGACTGGTTAGACAAGCTCCATATCTTTAATGTACCATTAAATTCAGTATGCTCTAATGTTTCGTCTTCACCACACAACGTTGTTCCCGGAGATGTATCTGATCAATCTCTCTTGCAACGCCGTCGTCAAAAGCACGCTTCTGTCTTCCAAGACAAACTTGGTTGCTGCAAACTGTTTGGCATCCAGCATATTCGTAGCCCCCCGTATCATCCCCAATCGAATGGACAGACTGAACGTTTCGTCGACACCCTTAAGCGTGCTTATGCAAAAGCGAAGGGGGAGGGAACAACAGAAAGAATTTTGGATAAATTCTTGCTGCATTATCGTACGAATGAAAAAGGACAGTTATGTGTCAGACACACAAATCACGCTCTATCCAGTACCACGCAAAGGTCAACTCGACAAAGAAGAGCTCCGAAACCTTTTCAAATAGATCCAAAAAGCAAGTCCTACACTCTTTACGGGGGGAGGTGATAGGATCCCACATATTTTGGTATTGACTGTTTAATCTTGCATATATGGTATGTTATCATTCTCACATTTATCATTCTCACACATTTTGGTAGTGACTGCTAATCTTGTATATATGGTATATTATCATTCCCACACATTTTGTTACTGACTGTCAACCTCGCACATATGGTATATTATCATCTCTCACGCACTTTGTTATTGGCTATTAAGATAAATTATTTCAAATGCTGTTAGCTGTCCATATTGTTGTAAAATGTATAAATACCATGGCTTTCTTTATCGTTGTTGCACTTCAATACACACTCACAGTCCAGCCTTTGTCTTTTGATATTTGCGTGCTTTACTAAGTCGGAAGGTACGACGAGCAGATAGGCAGATTAGTTCAGGCGCAGACAGAATAAGGTGAAAACGTCTTCATTCAATTC